GAACACAAGTCCTGGAGGCGGGGCCCATACCAACTCCCCTCTTCCTCCCTGGAATCCCAGGACCAGGCTGAAATGCAGACTGGCCACGACCCTGACCTCCCCTCCCTGGTGGCCCCAAAGCAACATATATAAATGACCCACAAACTCTGAAACAGATTTCTACTCTGAGCCCCTTCCTCTCCCCTGCTCAAGGCAGAGGTCATAAAGGAAGGGGTGGGGTCTCCATAGCATTCCTCAGGATAGCCAGCTTTCCCACCGTGAGCCCCCTAACCCAGTCCACCCTCCTGTCTGTCCCTCTGATAGCATTGCCAATATGGCCTCCAGGGAGGGCTGAGTCCACCTCTTCTAGCCCACCTTGACCAAGGCAGAGCCCAGCCCCAGTGGCCACCACAGGCCAGCACCCCACCCCCCATGCTACCTCCAAGCAGCCCTGAAGAATGAAACCTCTACCAGCCCACTCCTGGGGCGTGGGGGAGAGGGGCAGTCCCGAAGACTGCTCAGCATCCTTCCGGAGCCAAATGGAACTCAGAAATCCCCTTACATTCCCCCCACTCCCAAACCAGGAGGACAGAGTCCCCACCCAGCAGACTCAGCCAGAGAGAGAAAGATGCGGGAGGCTCACCCTGGAAAAAGCAGAGCCAGCTTCCCATGGAAGAGCCTGCTGCAGCCACGCCAAGGCAGGCGGGTGCTGACTGCCGGGCCCCTGCCCCCCTCTGCGGGTCAATACTGCGGATGTCAGGAGCAGTAGAAGGCTGCCCTGCCCCCACCCGCCCTGAAGCCCAGCCACAGAAAACCTAGACTTGGCTTTCCCCATCCTGACGTCATTAAAAAGTTTAGGATGTGATTAAGAGAGTCAGAAGTTGACCTTGACGGGAGTGAGTGCTGTCTGGGGCCCGTGGGGGCTCTGCAAAAGCAAGGCCTGGAGGTTGGTCCTGATTCTGCCCAAGTTTGCACAACATCTGGGACAAGTCGTTTAAAATGGGACGAGGCCAATTGCCTCCTAGGAACAAAGAAACCAAGGTGAAAGGCATACGCCTGCAGGGGACCAGGGGTGGGATCAGCATCTAAGCCTTGGCCTGCGCCAAGCTCTGTGGGTTCCACCTTGGGCACATCAGGCTGCTTGGAGCACCCATGAGGTGCAGAGCATAGGGCCCCAGCTCCATAAGGCAGAACTGAAAAGCTTTGGGACCAGCCCAATGTAGGCCCTTTTAGGGGAACAAGATACAGAGGGTGGACCTGTCCCAAATGCCTGCTCCTGAGGGGGAACTCCCATGTACACTCATCCTTGACCTCCTGTGCCTGGGTCCCCAGAATGAGGAAAGGCCACAGGCACAGTGGGGGACAGCTGTGACCAACCTAACCCACTGAGAGCAGATCATTCCTCCTACCCTGTCCACCTGCCCACCTGCCCACAATATGAACCACGCATGCAGAGCTGAGACAATCTGGGGCTCCACCTGACCAGGCCTTCCCTGACCACCTGATCTGAAGCAGCCTCCAGGGGTGCTCCATTCTGTCTGGCTGGGCTGTCCCCACCTCGCTGACCCACCTTTGCCTGCTGGTGGATCTCAGTCCTATGCACCTGCTCTGACCACCCCTAGGCCCCCTCCTGGTATGAGACCTCCTCCAATTGTCTCCTTGGCCCTGCTGCTGCTTGTGTGTCACAGCTCTGGGGACGAACACAGGCCCTCCCAGTCCCATATGGGAGAAGGGTGGGGCCATCAGTCCAAGCATGGCCCTTGGCCAGACCCTCTGCCCAGAGGCTGAGCTCATGCTTTGGGAGGCAGCCACCCCCCGACTCCCACAGCGGACTCCAGCTTACTGCTGCCCCCACCACCAAGCCGCCCTCAGGCTCCAGCTCCACCACTCTTGCCCCAGTGTCCCAGTGCCCCTCATGCAGGGACCCAGCCTCAGAGAGCAGCGAGCACCTCCAGCACCTTGGAGAGCAGGTAGCCAGTTCCCTGGGGCGGGTGAGGGAGCCTGAGGCTGCAACAGCAGTGGGGTGGCCACTCCTACCCTGGTGCTTCGACCCACCCCTCCTCCCTAGAGCTCCCTGTGATGAAACCTAGAGTAGGAGCTCTGGGGACATAAGTCTCCCTTCCCCAGTCACAGGGTTTCACTGCCTGGGCCAGCTGACCCTGGCTCTGCTCCCTCCCTGAGCCTGGGTGTCTGCTCTGACAGCAGGCGCCAGAGCACTGAGCCCAGCTGCAGCCATCACGCCACAGGGGCGTGGGGTGTGGCTCTGCAATCAATCTGGCATTCAGAGTGGCAGTTCCTCTCTCTGGAACAGCTCACAGTCAGGCCATCCAGCCTCCACCCTCAGGGTGACTAGGAAGCAACCAGCATGACACACTGTGATCCATTCCCATTCCCTTGAGGGACTACCATGTAGCCATTCCCAGCAGACCCTGCAGCGGCACAGGGAGGCACCTCCCATGGAATGCAATAAAACATGAAAAAGCAAGATGCAAACTTGGGTAAAGCCCAAGATTTAACTGCTTACCACAGTATGTGTGATAGGAAAAAAGACTGGAAGAAAATGTACGGTGGTGGCAATGATTAGGTTAAGTAGAAGGGCAAAGGTGTCTCAAATTTTTTGGTAATGAGTGTACAGATGGGTGAAAGGAAAAGAAATGACTCTTCAATGAGTTTTGTGCCTGCAGGCTCTTCACATTCACTAACTCGCTCAATCCCATAGGAGATACCTTATTATCTCATTTGTGGCTAAGAGAGGTTAAGTAACTCTTCTAGGGTCACACAGCAGGGGGCAGGCTAGGAGGGGCATTAGAGCTGGATCAGAGCCAGAATTCAGGCCCCTCTTGATAAGGGAGGAGGTGGAAAGAACCCAGAAAGTGCTATAGGCTCTCTCCAGTAGAGAAGAGGGTCAGGGCCAGGCCTGACTGGTGCCCTTCAGAGAATTGCTTATACAAGGCCCTCCACTCCCACCCCCAGCACTAGATCAAGTTCAGCCTATCTGTGCCCACATGCTCCTCCTCCAGTGCCTGCAGGTCCTCCTCCTTCTCCTCTTGGTATTTACATTCCCTCCATCCTCAAGGCTGAGCTCATTCACACTCCCTCCAGGAAGTCTTCCCTGACTGCCCACTCATTGTGGTAGACCACTTGACCTCCCAGGGGTTGCAAACAGCCTGGTCTGGGTGACCATATACCTCCTTCACTGGTATATACTTCCTCCACCCCCACTCTCAACCCCCACAACCCACTCTCCACAAGGGGGCCTGGGGGATGTGAGCATCCAAGTCATGCCTCTAATACCCTCCTATTGCTACCACCACACTGAAGTCAAATCCAAACCCATGCCCTTCATCACCGGCCTCTGCCGCCCTCCTCGACCTCATTTCACACTCTTCCCCACCCAGACTTGGCCTCCTTCTTTCTCTTAACAAACCAAACTCATTCATGCCTCAGGGCCTTTGCACCATGGTTCTCTCCACCTGGAACATCTTCCCCCCTGTTTTCTTTCCCTGCGCTTCTTCTCATTGCTCAGGAAAGCCTCCCATGAGTAAAGGCTGGGCCTTCCAACAAGCGGTACTGGGCAGGCCTGCCCATGTAGATCTGCCCGCAGGCCAGACTGCCACACAACTTCCTCACCCTTTCCCACAGCTGTTTGGCTCTGCCAGGGCCCCGGTTCTGCCAACTGCCTGTATCTTTGGCTCAAACTTTCCTTGACCCCACCCAGGGCCCAGATTGGCCAGTCTGGCCTCTGGCTGCTTTCTGTCCCTCCAAACTTCCATGCCAGTCAGATGAGGTGGACAGTGTCTTCCCCACTGGCTAGAGGGTAACCAGCACAGGATTTCATAAATCAAAGAGGTTCATCTCAGCATCATTTATCAAAGTGAAAAATAAGAAACAATCACAATTTTCAACTGCAGAGAAGGGGTTAAGAAAAATTTTCTACCTCCTATCAAATTCCTTTTGATTTGAAACTCTCCAGTGGCGTCCCACTGTTATTAAGATGGAAGTGAAATGCCCTGTAAGACCCCAAACTAACTCTGACCCTGCTCAGCCCCATCTCACCAGCATATGCCATGCTCCTCACGTTCCAGCCACACCCATTTCTTTCCCTCCTTGTACTCACCAGGCTCTCTTATGCCACTGGGCCTTTGCATGTGCCATTCTCTCTGCCTGGAATACCCTCCCCTCTTCATCTAGCAAACTGTCACCCTCCAGACCTCAGCTCATACGTCCCCTCCCTAGGGAAGGCTTTTGCTTATCCTTATGGGAACTCGTGACACTCAGCCTTCCCCATCAGACTAGCAGCCTCTGAGAGCCAGAACTTTTCGAGTTGTACGTGCAGCATGATTGCAAATAGGTAAGAAAAAAAGACGAAGAACATAAACCATAGTAACTGTCTGTAGTGACTGCAATTACAGGCAATTTTACCCCTGCACCTAATTTTCCAAACACTCCACAGTGGGCTGTCTTACTTTTACCATCGGAGGAAGTAACTACCAGCTGTCCTCCGCCCGTCGGCCCTCAGAGCCGATGCCTCCAGCCAGAGCACCTGGCCCTTACCCTTGCCCTGGCAGGTGCTCTGCCCACAAGCAGGAAGACTGGAGGTCAGGTAAGAAAAGGTTAAGGGCATGGCTCTAGGTGGCAGGAAGAAGGGGCTGGTTCCATGAGGGCAATCACAGACCCTGGCAGGGACAGGACAGGGAGGCCAGTGGGGGCTGGAGTTTGAATCCTGGCTGTGTTTTACTGGTTTAGTGGCCTTAGCAAGGTGTCATGCCTCCTGGGACCTCCATTTCCTCATTGCTAAGTGGAGCCCACAGTGCTGCCCACCCCTCAAGCTGGGGGAGCATGGAAAGGAACAGTGCACATAAAGTATGCGTCAGTGCAGGCTGCTAGTTAATGTTTAAAGGAACCAACAGTCAAACATAAAGAACTTTCGTGTACTGCTGGCCAGCCTCCAGGCTGGTCCTAGATTCCAGAAGAACCACTGCCCCACCCAGTCCTCGCCCCACCACCTTAGCCCTGCATACCTTCCTTGGAGCCAGTGGCTGCTGCCACAGCAGAGGTGGATGCTGACCCAGTCGACGTCCGGCCCACAGGGCTCGAGTGTTTCCCCCCACGGCCAGGGGGCTTCAGGCCACTGGGCTTCTGCATGGTGGTGCTACTCGGTGTGCAGAGAAGGACCCAGGCAGATCACGTCCTCTCCACCATTGTCACTCACCTGCAGGCAGATAACAGAGTGATCACATTATAGCATCACAAGATTCCACACCCTATCTGGGCACCAGCTTTTGACAGAGGGGCCTCTTAGGAGGGGTAAGTGTCCAGGCTCTAAGGTGATCGGTTCAGATGCCAGCGAGATAGGGCTGGCTGTAGAGGGCCTGGAGGAGAGGCAGAAAGGACAGGCCCACCGTCACCTGGCTTCCTCCCCCACTGTCCTGCATACACGCCCTCTCTTGTGCCTATCCAGGAACCAACATCACCTCCACTTTCTAGATAGGGAAACCGAGGCACAGGCAATAGCAGCAAGTGTGGGCCCAGCGTGGCAGCCATGTTGCAGGACACAGGTCCTGGCCTGCTGCACTCTGAAGCCAGGCGTGCTCCCTCTGCCCGCTTCCTGGGCCCAGGAGACAAGACTCGGGGCAAACAGGCTTGGGGGTCAGCAGCAATGGCTGTGTTAGTCCCGACGGCTGATACCAGGACCATGCAAGTCAGCACGGCCACAGTGGCTGAGCATGGCTCTCACCACAGAACACAGGCCAGTGGAGATTCTGACACATGCAGGCTGCCCTGTGGGTCACTCACTCTCCAATGGGACCCAGACCCTCTAGGAACAGCCAATAACTCAGATCCCCCTGATGTGAGCCAGACAAAAAAACACCTAATTCATCAACCAGCTCATTGCTTGGCCTTGCCGAAAGGCCATGCTCCAGTTTCAGGCTCGCCATCCCAGCACATGTCCACTCCACCCCAGATGTAGGGACATATGCTCAGAGAGGCTTACAGCTCCCTCCGTCCCACGCCAGAACAGACTCCCTGTGCCCTCTGCCTGCCCTTCCCCACTTGCAGCTCCATGCCTTAATGACAAAGCAGAGACAGGTGTGACACATAGAATACAGGGGCACCAGCTTTTGACAGAGGGGCCTCTTAGGAGGGGTAAGTGTCCAGGCTCTAAGGTGATCGGTTCAGATGCCAGCGAGATAGGGCTGGCTGAAGAGGGCCTGGAGGAGAGGCAGAAAGGACAGGCCCACCGTCACCTGGCTTCCTCCCCCACTGTCCTGCCTACATGCCCTCTCTTGTGCCTAATGTTTATGGAGGGCTCACCACTGGGCAGACCCCATTCTGCCCCAGAGCTGCTGGCTCCTGCCTTGGGGTGTACACTATCCACTGAACAGATGGAGACTATGGGCAGAAGCGTCACCCCTTCAGGACTTTGAGAACAGGGATATCAATGCCCTCTGGGAGCTCATGTAGTAGGGGATGTCACACCCTCTGTCTGCCATATCCTTACCCCATTCCTGGTCATGGAAGGTTATTTCCTTTTAGAGAATCCTCTTCCCCAATCTTGACCTGTAAAACTTACATGGGCTGACCCTTACACACACCTACAGTGGGCACAAGATCCAAGCCTGGTTGGAGCCCCCATGCTTAGCTGAGGAAAGATCACACGATCCAAGGAGCATCAGGGCGTGGACTCTGGCTAGAACCTTTAGGAAGAGGTGCTTTCCTTGCTCTGGGGCTGCCTGGGTGTGGAGGGAAGCCAAGAGCTGCAGGGCCATCCCAGTTACCACATGGGAGAGACTGACAGGGAGTGATGCCAACATGGAGAGAGCAGAGCTGAGTCCTCAGATTTGCAGGGCCTGGATCCACCTGAACCTGAAGGCTGATCCCTGGAGCTCTTTGCCTGCACAAGGCAACAAATCCTCACACACATGTATACTGTTTTCCTTTTCTCCCTAAACCTATTTGAGGGACACTGTAGCCTGCAACCAAAAAAAGCTCTAATACAGAAGCCAACACACAATGCTCATGGCAGGAATAGGCAAAGTGTCCTTATAATGGCTCTCAGGCCAGCAAGAGGAGCCATCAACACTATTACTTGTCCTGGCCTAGCCATGGGAAGGAACATCTCCTTCGGCAGGGCTGCCCACCGTAAGAGCAGAGAAAAATAAGCTTTCCCAAAGCACAGAGTGGTGGACCTACACATCCAGGTGAGCTGATAGGAGTATGGGACATACCTGCTAGTCTTGGCCTGGCTCCCAGAGCCCACCAAATCCAACATTCCCATCCTGTAGACCCAGCACCCCAGGAATTCTGGGGCCTGAGAATCACGCAGTTAGCTGGGGTGTGAGATGGCTGCAACTTTGCTTCCCAAAACCTGGCCCTCCAGGAAGCCTGTTAACTAGCTTATTCATCTAGGCAATGTGGACATGACTCCCTGTGAGCCTGGATAGGCTGTGTTGTGTCCCCAAGCCTAAGAAGGACTCACTGAACCAGCAAGGGCAAGTGAAGGTGGTCTCTGGAGACAGTGAATATCCCACCCTATGGTGGGACTCTGGCCGCACCAGCCTCTGGCCACTCCTGGATCACTCTGAACACACTCTGAGCCCAGTGACTTTTCATATGCTGTTCCCTCTGCCTGGAATGCTTTTCCATCAAATATTCAGGTTTGTTGCTAATCTCTCCCAAAAAATCTCCAATGTCCCCTTCTAAGATTACAACCCCACCCAGTTCTCTCCACCTACTCACCTGCTTTGGTCTCCCCGACTTTACCAGGGACATGGGTCTGTTTCGTTGACTGCGCTATCCTCAGTCTGACAAGGGTGCCTGGTGCATGCAGGTGCTCAATAAATCACTGTTAAATGAATGACTCTGGCCCATGGCGGTGAGAGGACCAGGATGTCCCCCTTACCTCCTTAGGGCCCAACATTAAGGACTGAGTGGCTCATGGTGATCAGCCCAGCTGGCAGTCCGACACCATGACTTCCCAGTAGCTGGTCTGAGCCCCCTACCAGCTAACGTGCCCTTTGAGGCAGGGACCAGGCATTATAACCATGTTCCTGACATTGGAGGCTCCCCAACCAGCCTTAGCGCTGATTAGCCTGCATTTCTTCCCCACTTGCCTCTTTCCCACCTCCCAGACCCCACCGGTACCTTTTCTCCCACCTGCTACACTATTTCAACCACCTATGGAACACCTAACCTGATGCCGCTTCCTCCAGGAAGTCTCCTGGAACCTTTGGCCCACAAAGACCTTAGGATCACAAGTTGAGCTGAGGAGAAAGGATACTGTTCTTATTTATTTTCATCCTGCCTCCTGGGAGCCCACAGGCAACCCCAGGTGGGGCCACAGTCTCTCCTCTCTGAGAACCCAGCCCTGGCATGGTTCCCGGCCCAGAGCCTGAGAGCTGAAATGTCCAAATGAGTACACCTGCTACTGCCCAGAGGACAAAGGTCCTCAGGGCCACAAACCCCCAGGGACACTCTTCCCAGCTTTGGAAGTTCCCACAGTTCCCCTTGTGCCCTCCCAGACCCCGAGGAGCTCTGCAGTCTCTGGTATAAATAAACTATTATGTGCCAGGCCTTGAAGGTTTGTGGTCCAGGAGTTGTCCCAGGCAGAGGAGGTCATGGCCATCTAAAAGGTGGAGCATCTGCAGCTCAGAAAAGTTCAGGCACTCACCCAAAGGCACACACTGCTTGGTGGCTATGCTAGAACCAGACATGGGTGTGGCCCTCCGCTGCCTGCCTGGAGGCTGGACTGTCCGGCCCAGGCATAGAATAACATTTGTGGGACCCCTAGCCTCTGGAGAGCACCCACATGCGTTGCTGACAAAGGGGACTAAAGGAGCTGGGGTGAGAGGACTGAGGGGGATTCAGTCAGTCCTGGCCACAACAGCTGTGGGCCAGGGAGGGCCAGAGGAGCGTGGAGAAGGGGAGCCAGGGGAAAGAATGGGGAACAGGAAGAGGGGAAGGCCTCAGGCCAACGGTCCCTTTATGACTCAGCCCTGATTCTGGGATAGAGGAAGAGAAGGGTTTCTTGGAAAAATCTGGAATGTGGTGATAAATTCGCCGCACTGCAGCAGGAGGGGAGGCCTAGGAGGCAGGGGAGTAGATGTAAGCCCTGTGCAGGTCCTAGCCCCAGACCCACCACAAGCAACTGGGACCTTCGCCGGTGTGAGCCTGTTTCATCACCTGCAAAATGGGCAACAGCACCGCTGCTTCATGGGAGAGCGGATGAGCAGATCTGAGAAAGCGCCCCACACAGGTCCCCTGTGCCAGTCACACAGCAGCTGCTGGGAAGGGGCGGCTGTCACTATGGTTGTTCTCCATCAGCATGTCCAAAGGCCCAGGGTGCACACACCACCTTCCCCAGGGCCTCAGGCAGAGGAGCTGGTGTGGGAGGGGCGGGCGGGTGTCATTCAGACCAACAGGCCCCCTTTGTGCCGCCCTCAACTGCCATTTACTGGAGACAAACCCAGGCTGCGTTTCAGGGTTTCCATTAGTCACCCCGGGGGGTAGTGGGCAGGGGTAGTTTCAGTGGGGATGAGGCCCAAGGACTTTTCACCAATCAGGAGGCCTGGGGTGTGGCCCACAGAAGGGGGGCAGGTGCCAAATGGGGCAGTGGAAACTCCATCTTTAGCCTGCCAGCATGGCCCAGAGGGTGAGGGAGGCAGGCACCAGGAGGCGGGCTGTGGGACACCTGCCAGCACTCACATCCTGGACCTTCTGCCTGGGGACAGGCACTCTGGCAGGACACTGGCTGGTGGAGGCCCAGCCTTTAAGGCAGAGGCTTCCCCACCCCCAACTGTGATGGCTTTCCTGGGGCTACTCCTCCTCTTCTCATGAGCCTGTGACCTGAGGGTGAGGCCATGTGGCACACAGAGATGAACTGGCCCCTGATCACGTGCCACAAGCCCTAAGCACAATGGGGTGGGAGAACCTCCTCACACTGGGAGGGACCCAGGAGAAGGTAGGGGCTGGAGGGGTGAGCTCAGTTTGGGACATGCAAGGAGAGGGGCAGGGGGCAGAGTGATGGGGCCTTGGGAGAGTCTCTGGGGACAGGTGAGGTGGGGGAGGGGAGGTGGCCAGGCACAGGCCTGGACACCCACATATGTAATGTGAGGGGAGGCTTGAGGGCACCCCAACAAGAGATGGGCACAGACAGCTTTCGAGGAGAGGATGCCCTGCCGACAGCTGCAGTCAATGCAAACCCAAGCCAAA